AGTGTTAAAGCTATTTAAAAGAAAGTCTCTGCTTTTACAACCTTTCATTTTTTTTTAGCAACTCAGCAGCAGAGTTATTCAGTTTGTAAAGCTCCCTACTAAATCTCACCTGAAAACATCGATCTACGGAGTTGTGCAGTTTTTCCCACTTCAAAAGGCAGTCTGCTGCTGCTGCTACCCCCGCCAGCGCAGAGCCGAGCACAGTACCGTGTTGAACCCTTCACTGACGCGGCTGATGTTATCTATCAATTTGTTCAGTGTTTGCTGTACCAGGGAGATTTCTAAGTTCTAATTAAGAAAAAAAAAAAAAACAACAACTACTGTATTTGCCTTTTCACCTTATCTGTTTCAGTACTTACTTCACATTGCCTCTTAACTTTTGTGGTAAAAGTAATGACAACTTGTTCAAAACAAAAATATCCAAGACTATCATGTGGATTCCCAGCTGTGCTACAGCAATTCTCAGTAGTCCCCCAGTTGCCAACGCTCACAATTTTATAGTCTTCCTCTTTTATTTTCCATTTGGGGTGCACAGTGATAACAGATGACCCGATTTTCACTGAAGGCCCATGCAGCCCTTTGAGGTTAGAAACGAACGGAAAATAGGGGAAGAAATCACAACTGTTTTGAGCCCGAATGAAGATTTTCAACTCGTTTGCAATATTGTGATCCTAGTAGCGTCAACATTGATACATCTGAATAAAAACTGTGCGTTTTACAATGAATTTGGCCTTCTAGCAGAAATTTTCAGCTGTGGAAAATCCCCAGCACTGCGCCTGCTATCTTCCTCCCCGGAACATTTCGGTTTTCAGACTCCCGTCTCCCACTCAGTCTCGTATATATTCTAAGCTCCAAAGGGTTAAAGTTCTGGCATTTCTTCTGACTGGCATTTCCAAATCTCTCCTGGGGCCCATGCAGCGTTTATGCCAAAATGCTTTATTATTATACAAACACAGAGCAAGAGCAGAAGAAAACAGAAAAGAAAAAATAAAAAACCCAACCTCCTCAGTTTGCCCTCCAAACCCGGGACCTGCTCGCCGGTCTGAAGCTCACCACACCAACCCCAATCCTAGTAACACCCGCAAGTGATATTTAAAGAGCAAAAAGAGCGGTGTTTTAACGAAGAGAGGGGACCCGGCTCTCCCGCCGCCGGGCCTGGCGCTCACCGCGAACGCCTGTGGGCGCGGGAGGCGGA